GGGGTCTCTATGGGGGTCTATGGGGGTCTATGGGGGGTCTATGGGGGGTCTATGGGGGTCTATGGGGTCTCTATGGGGGGTCTATGGGGGTCTATGGGGCTCTATGGGGGCTCTATGGGGCTCTATGGGGGTCTATGGGGGCCTATGGGGGGCTATGAGGGGTCTATGGGGGTCTATGGGGGGAATATGGGGGGATATGGGGGTCTATGGGGGGTCTATGGGGGGCTATGAGGGGTCTATGGGGGGGATATGGGGGTCTATGGGGCTCTACGGGGGTCTATGCAGTCTCTATGGGGGTCTATGGGTCTCTATGGGGGTCTAAGGGGTCTCTATGGGGGTCTATGGAGGCTCTCTATGGGGCTATGGAGCCCTCTCTATGGGGCTCTATGGGGTGTCTATGGGGGTCTATGGGGGTCTATGGGGGTCTATGGGGCTCTATGGGGGTCTATGGGGGGGATATGGGGGTCTATGGGGGTCTATGGGGCTCTATGGGGGGTCTATGGGGGTCTATGGGGGGTCTATGGGGGGATATGGGGGCTCTATGGGGGTCTATGGGGTGTCTATGGGGGTCTATGGGGGTCTATGGGGGGTCTATGGGGGGATATGGGGGTCCATGGGGGGTCTATGGGGGTCTATGGGGGTCTATGGGGTCTCTATGGGGGGTCTATGGGGGTCTATGGGGGGTCTATGGGGGTCTATGGGGGGTCTATGGGGGGGATATGGGGGTCTATGGGGGATAAGGGGGTCTATGGGGGTCTATGGGGGGCTATGGGGGTCTATGGGGGGTCTATGGGGGTCTATGGGGGGTCTATGGGGTGTCTATGGGGGGGATATGGGGGTCTATGGGGTGTCTATGGGGGTCTATGGGGGGTCTATGGGTGTCTATGGGGGTCTATGGGGTGTCTCTGGGGGTCTATGGGGGTCTATGGGGGTCTATGGGGGTCTATGGGGGGATATGGGGGTCTATGGGGGTCTATGGGGGTCTATGGGGGGGATATGGGGGTCTATGGGGGTCTATGGGGGGTCTATGGGGGTCTATGGGGGTCTATGGGGGGTCTATGGGGGGATATGGGTGTCCATGGGGGGTCTATGGGGGTCTATGGGGGTCTATGGGGTCTCTATGGGGGGTCTATGGGGGGTCTATGGGGGTCTATGGGGTCTCTATGGGGGGGATATGGGGCTCTATGGGGGGGATATGGGGGTCTATGGGGGTCTATGGGGGGTCTATGGGGGTCTATGGGGGTCTATGGGGTCTCTATGGGGGTCTATGGGGGTCTATGGGGGGCTATGGGGGTCTATGGGGGGGATATGGGGGTCTATGGGGGGGATATGGGGGTCTATGGGGGGGATATGGGTGTCTATGGGGGTCTATGGGGTGTCTATGGGGGGTCTATGGGCTCTATGGGGTGTCTATGGGGCTCTATGGGGGTCTATGGGGGTCTATGTGGTTCTATGGGGGTCTATGGGGGGTCTATGGGGGTCTATGGGGGGATATGGGGGGTCTATGGGGGTCTATGGGGGAATATGGGGGTCTATGGGTGTCTATGGGGGTCTATGGGGGGATATGGGGGGTCTATGGGGGTCTATGGGGGTCTATGGGGGGATATGGGGGTCTATGGGGGGTCTATGGGGGGTCTATGGGGGGTCTATGGGGGTCTATGGGGGGATATGGGGGTCTATGGGGGTCTATGGGGGGTCTATGGGGGTCTATGGGGGGTCTATGGGGGGTCTATGGGGGTCTATGGGGGGATATGGGGGTCTATGGGGGTCTATGGGGGGTCTATGGGGTCTCTATGGGGGGGATATGGGGGTCTATGGGGGTCTATGGGGGGTCTATGGGGGTCTATGGGGGGTCTATGGGGCTCTATGGGGGGTCTATGGGGGTCTATGGGGGTCTATGGGGGGATATGGGGGTCTATGGGGGGGTCTATGGGGGGATATGGGGGTCCATGGGGGGTCTATGGGGGTCTATGGGGTCTCTATGGGGTGTCTATGGGGGTCTATGGGGGTCTATGGGGTGTCTATGGGGGTCTATGGGGGGATATGGGGGTCTATGGGGCTCTATGGGGTGTCTATGGGGCTCTATGGGGGGATATGGGGGTCTATGGGGCTCTATGGGGGTCTATGGGGGGTCTATGGGTGTCTATGGGGGTCTATGGGGGGTCTATGGGGGTCTATGGGGGGGATATGGGGCTCTATGGGGGTCTATGGGGGTCTATGGGGTCTCTATGGGGGTCTATGGGGGGGTCTATGGGGGGATATGGGGGTCTATGGGGGGGATATGGGGGGCTATGGGGGCTCTATGGGGTCTCTATGGGGGTCTATGGGGGGGATATGGGGGTCTATGGGGGTCTATGGGTCTCTATGGAGGTCTATGGGGTCTCTATGGGGCTCTATGGGGGGCTATGGGGTCTCTATAGGTCTCCATGGCATCTCTATGGGGGTCTATGGGGGGGATATGGGGGGGATATGGGGGTCTAGGGGGGGTCTATGAGGTCTCTATGGGGTCTCTATGGGTCTCTATGGGTCTCTATGGGGTCTCTATAGGTCTCTATGGGGGTCTATGGGGGGGATATGGGGCACTATGGGGGGCTATGGGGGGTCTATGTGGTCTCTATGGGGTGTCTATGGGGTCTCTGTGGGGGTCTATGGGGGTCTCTATGGGTGTCTATGAAGGCTCTATGGGGATCTATGGGGCTCTATGGGGTATCTACGGGGTGCCTCTAGGGCGCTATTGGGTCTCTATAGGGCGCTATGGGGCACTATGGGGTGTCTCTAGGGCGCTATGGGGTCTCTATAGGGCAGTATGGGGTCCCATAAAGCCAGAATCACTCCCCCCCCCCCCCATTCCCAACCCAATCCCCATAGCTCCCCCCCATAGATCCGCCCCCATCTCTGCCCCATAGCTCCCCCCCATAGATCCACCCCCATCTCTGCCCCATAGCTCCCCCCCATAGATCCCCCCATACCTCCCCCCTTACATCCCCCCTATATCTCCTGCCCCATAGCACCCCCCCCATGGCTCCCCTCTTAGCTCCCCCATAGCTCCCCCCCCATAGCTCCGCCCCATAGCTCCCCCCAGCCCCATAGCGATCCGCTCCATAGCTCCCCCCATAGCTCCCCCCCAGGCCCATAGCGCTCCACCCCATAGCTGTGCCCCATAGCTCCCCCCATAGCTCCGCCCCAGCCCCATAGCGCTCCCCACCATAGCTCTGCCCCATAGCTCCCCCCCAGCCCCATAGCTCCGCCCATAGCTCCGCCCCATAGCTCCCCCCATAGCTCCCCCCCATAGCTCCCCCCATAGCTCCGCCCATAGCTCCGCCCCATAGCTCCGCCCCATAGCTCCCCCCCATAGCTCCGCCCCATAGCGCCCCCCCAGCCCCATAGCTCCCCCCCAGCCCCATAGCTCCGCCCCATAGCCCCCCCCATAGATCCCCCCATAGCTCCGCCCCATAGCTCCGCCCCATAGCTCCCCCCCATAGCCCCCCCCATAGCTCCGCCCCATAGCTCCGCCCCATAGCTCCCCCCAGCCCCATAGCTCCACCCCATAGCTCCGCCCCATAGCTCCCCCCATAGCTCCCCCCCATAGCTCCGCCCATAGCTCCGCCCCATAGCTCCGCCCCATAGCTCCCCCCCATAGCTCCGCCCATAGCTCCGCCCCATAGCTCCGCCCCATAGCTCCCCCCAGCCCCCATAGCTCCACCCCATAGCTCCGCCCCATAGCTCCCCCCCATAGCTCCGCCCATAGCTCCGCCCCATAGCTCCGCCCCATAGCTCCCCCCCATAGCTCCGCCCATAGCTCCGCCCCATAGCTCCGCCCCATAGCTCCCCCCCATAGCTCCCCCCCATAGCTCCGCCCATAGCTCCGCCCCATAGCTCCGCCCCATAGCTCCCCCCCATAGCTCCCCCCCATAGCTCCGCCCCATAGCTCCACCCCTAGCTCCGCCCCATAGCTCCACCCCATAGCTCCCCATAGCTCCGCCCCATAGCTCCCCCCCATAGCTCCCCCCATAGCTCCCCCCATAGCTCCGCCCCATAGCTCCGCCCCATAGCTCCGCCCCATAGCTCCCCCCCATAGCTCCCCCCCATAGCTCCGCCCCATAGCTCCGCCCCATAGCTCCGCCCCATAGCTCCCCCCATAGCTCCACCCCATAGCTCCGCCCCATAGCTCCGCCCCATAGCTCCCCCCCATAGCTCCCCCCCATAGCTCCGCCCCATAGCTCCGCCCCATAGCTCCCCCCCATGGCTCCGCCCCATAGCTCCCCCCCATAGCTCCGCCCCATAGCTCCACCCCATAGCCCCCCCCATAGATCCCCCCATAGCTCCGCCCCATAGCTCCGCCCCATAGCTCCCCCCCATAGCTCCGCCCCATAGCTCCACCCCATAGCCCCCCCATAGATCCCCCCATAGCTCCGCCCCATAGCTCCGCCCATAGCTCCCCCCCATAGCTCCGCCCCATAGCTCCCCCCCAGCCCCATAGCGCTCCACCCCATAGCTCCGCCCCATAGCTCCCCCCCATAGATCCCCCCATAGCTCCCCCCCAGCCCCATAGCTCCCCCCATAGCTCCGCCCCATAGCGCCCCCCCAGCCCCATAGCTCCCCCCCATAGATCCCCCCATAGCTCCCCCCCAGCCCCATAGCTCCCCCCCATAGCTCCGCCCCATAGCGCCCCCCCAGCCCCATAGCTCCGCCCCATAGCTCCGCTCCATAGCTCCCCCCAGCCCCATAGCTCCGCCCCATAGCTCCCCCCAGCCCCATAGCTCCGCCCCATAGCTCCGCCCCATAGCTCCCCCCAGCCCCATAGCTCCGCCCCATAGCTCCGCTCCATAGCTCCCCCCAGCCCCATAGCTCCGCCCCATAGCCCCCCCAGCCCCATAGCTCCGCCCCATAGCTCCCCCCCATAGCTCCCCCCCATAGCTCCCCCCATAGCTCCGCCCCATAGCTCCCCCCCATAGCTCCGCCCCATAGCTCCGCCCCATAGCTCCCCCCCATAGTCCCCCTCACCCCAGCTGCAGCGGTTTGGGGCACGCCAGCCCCGCCCCCTCCATGCGCAGCGCGGTTCCCGTCAGCGCCCGCGGCAGCGGGTTCCGGAAAAGGGCCTGGACCGGAGCCTCCTGACCCACAACGGCCTCGGCCAGGAGCTGGGGTCAGGGGTCAGGGGTCAGGGGTCAGGGGTCAGGGGTCAGGGGTCAGGAGGGGAGGTGGGGTCAGAGGGGGAGGGAGGGGGGAGGGGTCAGGGGAGGGGGAGGGGGAGGGGAGAGGGGTCAAGGGGGGGAGGGGAGGGGGGAGAGGGGGAGGGGATCAGAGGGGGAGGGAGGGGGAGGGGAGGGGGGAGAGGGGGAGGGGGGGAGGGGAGAGGGGAGGGGGGGAAGGGATCAGGGGAAGGGGGGGAGGGGAGGGGTCAGAGGGGAGGGGGGGAGGGGGGGAGAGGAGGTCAGGGGGGAGGGGAGAGGGGTCAAGGGGGGGAGGGGAGGGGGAGAGGGGTCAAGGGGGGGGAGGGAAGGGATCAGAGGGGGAGCGAGGGGGAGGGGAGGGGGGGAGAGGGGTCAGGGGGGGAGGGGAGGGGGGGGAGGGGGAGGGGTCAGTGGAGGGGGGGAGGGGATCAGAGGGGGAGGGGAGAGGGGAGGGGTCGGAGGGGGGAGGGGGAGGGGAAAGAGGTCAGGGGGGGAGGGAGGGTGGAGAGGGGTCAGGGGGGGGAGGGGAGGGGGGAGAGGGGTCAGGGGAGGGGGAGGGGTCAGGGGGGAGGGGGAGGGGGAGGGAGGGGGAGGGGAGGGGGGAGAGGGGGGAGCGGGGAGGGGATCAGAGGGGGAGGGGTCAGGGGGAAGGGGAGGGGGGAGGGAGGGGTCAAAGGGTGGAGGGGAGAGGGGAGGGGTCAGAGGGGGGGGAGGGGGGGAGAGAGGTCAGGGGGGGAGGGAATCGGGGGTGGAGGGGGGAGGGGAGAGGGGTCAAGGGGGGGAGGGGAGGGGGGAGGGGTCAAGGGGATGGGGGGAGGGGAGGGGTCAGGGGGGAGGGGAAAGAGGGAAGGGGGGGAGGGGAGAGGGGGCAGAGGGGTCAGCGGGGAGGGGGGAGGGGGAGTGGGGAGGGGATCGGGGGGGAGGGGGAGGGCTGGGGGGGAGGGGGGGGAGGGGATCAGGGAAGAGGGGAGCCCACAGCAGGGGGGGTGGACTGTGGGGGGGTGGGACCCTAGGAAATGGGGGGGGATGGGAAATGGGACCCATAGGAAATGGGGGGGGATGGGGAATGGGACCCATAGGGAGTGGGGGGGGATGGGGAATGGGACCCATAGGGAGTGGGGGGGGATGGGAATGGGACCCATAGGGAATGGGGGGGGATGGGGAATGGGACCCATAGGGAGTGGGGGGGGATGGGAAATGGGACCCATAGGGAATGGGGGGGGATGGGAAATGGGACCCATAGGGAGTGGGGGGGGATGGGAAATGGGACCCATAGGGAGTGGGGGGGGATGGGGAATGGGACCCATAGGGAGTGGGGGGGATGGGGAATGGGACCCATAGGGAGTGGGGGGGGATGGGGAATGGGACCCATAGGGTGTGGGGGGGATGGGGAATGGGACCCATAGGGAGTGGGGGGGGATGCGGAATGAGACCCATAGGGAGTGGGGGGGGAGCCATAGGGAATGGGAGCTGTGGGGGATGGGGATGGATAGGGAATGGGACCCATAGGAAATGGGGTGGAAGCTATAGGGAGTGGGGTGGGAGTTGTGGGGCTGGGACCCATAGGGAATGGGGATGGATGGGGAATGGGACCCATAGGGAATGGGATCAGTGGGGCAGGGACCCATAGGGGGTGGGAGGCATGGGGCTGGGATCCACAGAGAATGGGGTGGGAGCTGTGGGGGTGGAAGCTGTGGGGCTGGGACCCATAGGAGTGGGGTGGGACCCATAGGGAATGGGGCTGGATGGGGAATAGGGACCCATAGGGAATGGGGGGGGAGCTGTGGGGCAGGGACCCACAGCGGGTGGGAGCCATAGGGGATGGGATCCATGGGGCTGGGACCCACAGAGAATGGGGATGGATGGGGAATGGGAGCTGTGGGGCTGGGATCCATGGGGTTAGGACCCATAGGGAATGGGGATGGATGGGGAATGGGACCCATAGGGAATGGGATCTGTGGGGATGGGGTGGATGGGGCTCGGCTGTATGGGGCAGGGCGCTATGGGGCAGGCTCTATCTATGGGGCAGGGCTCTATGGGTTGGGACTGTATGGGTCCAGTCTCTATGGGGCAGGTCACTGGGGCAGGCTCTATGGGGCAGGGCTCTATGGGTCCGGCCTCTATGGGTCTGGCTCTATGGGTCTGGCTCTATGGGTCTGGTGCTATGGGGCAGGTATCTATGGGTCCAGTCTCTATGGGGCTGGGCTCTATGGGTCCGGGCTCTATGGTTCCAGGCTCTATGGGTCTGGGGCTCTATGGGTCTGGGCTATATGGGTCCGGGCTCTATGGGGCAGGCTCTATGGGTCTGGGTGCTATGGGGCAGAATCTATGGGTCAGTGCTCTATGAGGCAGGATTCTATGGGTCCGGCTCTATGGGGGCAGGTCTCTTTGGGCAGGATCTATGGGTCCAGGTGCTATGGGGCAGAATCTATGGGGCAGGGTTCTATGGGTCAGTGCTCTATGGGTCCGGTTTTTATGGTTCTGGGCACTATGGGTCTGCTCTCTATGGGTCCACCCTCTATGGGTCAGCTGTCTATGGGTCTGGCGCTATGGGTCCGGGCTCTATGGGGCAGGCTCTATGGGCCTGGCGCTATGGGGCAGGCACTATGGGGCTCTATGGGTCAGTGCTCTAGGGTCCGGCACTATGGGGCTGGCTCTATGGGTCTGGGCTCTATGGGGCAGACACTGTGGGTCCAGGTGCTATGGGGCAGGTCCCTATGGGGCAGGCTCTATGGGTCCAGGTGCTATGGGGCAGAATCTATGGGGCAGTGCTCTATGGGGCAGGCTGTATGGGTGTGGTCTCTATGGGTCCGGGTGCTATGGGGCAGAACTATGGCCCGGGCTCTATGGGGCAGGCTCAACGGGTCCACTCTCTATGGGTCAGGTTCTATGGTCTCTATGGGTCCCTATGGTCTCTCTGTGGTTCTCTGTGGGTCTCTGTGTGTCCCTATGGGTCCCTGTGGGTCCCTATGGGTCTCTCTATGGTTGCTGTGGGTCACTGTGGGTCTCTCTATGTGTCCCTATGGGTCGCTGTGGGTCTCTGTGGGTCACTATGGGTCGCTGTGGGTCAGGCTCTATGGGTCCCTATGTGTCTCTATGGGTCACTATGGGTCCCTATGGGTCTCTATGGGTCCCTATGTGACCCTATGGGTCTCTATGTGTCTCTATGTGTCCCTATGGGTCCCTATGTGTCTCTATGGGTCCTATGGGTCTCTATGTGTCTCTATGGGGGTCCCTATGGGTCTCTATGGGGGTCTCTATGTGTCCCTATGGGTCCCTATGTGTCCCTATGGGTCCCTATGGGGTCCCTATGTGTCTCTATGTGTCTCTATGTGTCTCTATGGGTCTCTATGTGTCCCTATGGGGTCCCTATGGGGTCCCTATGTGTCCCTATGTGTCCCTATGTGTCTCTATGTGTCTCTATGTGTCCCTATGGGTCTTTATGTGTCTCTATGGGTCTCTATGTGTCTCTATGTGTCCCTATGGGTCCCTATGTGTCTCTATGGATCTCTATGGGTCTCTATGGGTCCCTATGTGTCCCTATGGGTCTCTATGGGTCTCTATGTGTCCCTATGTGTCCCTATGTGTCCCTATGTGTCCCTATGGGTCTCTATGTGTCTCTATGTGTCCCTATGGGTCTCTATGTGTCTCTATGGGTCCCTATGGGTCTCTATGTGTCTCTATGGGTCTCTATGTGTCTCTATGTGTCCCTATGGGTCCCTATGTGTCTCTATGGATCTCTATGGGTCTCTATGGTCCCTATGTGTCCCTATGGGTCTCTATGGGTCTCTATGTGTCCCTATGTGTCCCTATGTGTCCCTATGTGTCCCTATGGGTCTCTATGTGTCCCTATGTGTCCCTATGTGTCCCTATGGGTCTCTATGTGTCCCTATGGGTCCCTATGGGTCTCTATGTGTCCCTATGGGTCCCTATGTGTCTCTATGGGTCTCTATGTGTCCCTATGGGTCTCTATGTGTCTCTATGTGTCCCTATGGGTCTCTATGTGTCCCTATGGGTCCCTATGTGTCTCTATGGGTCTCTATGTGTCCCTATGTGTCTCTATGTGTCTCTATGTGTCCCTATGGGTCCCTATGGGTCCCTATGGGTCTCTATGGGTCTCTATGGGTCTCTATGGGTCCCTATGTGTCCCTATGTGTCTCTATGGGTCTCTATGGGTCTCTATGGGTCCCTATGTGTCCCTATGTGTCTCTATGGGTCTCTATGGGTCTCTATGTGTCCCTATGTGTCCCTATGGGTCTCTATGGGTCTCTATGGGTCAGTACCGTGAGGCCCAGCTCCGGGACGTGCAGCCGCACCCTCAGCTCCTTGGCCAGGACCTGCCCGGTCTCGTCCACGGCGCCGGCGGCCGTGAGGTGCAGCCCCTGCCCCGCCCCCACGTGCCCCGAGTACTCCCCATAGGGCACGGCCATGGAGATCAGCTCCTCTGGGGGGCGGCAGTGGGGCAGCCCCATTGGCATCCATTGATTTCCATTGAGCCCCATTGAAAACCATTGAGCCCCATTGACTTCCATTGAGCCCCACTGACACCCATTGACACCCATTGAGCCCCATTGACACCCATTGACACCCATTGAACCCCATTGACACCCATTGACTTCCATTGACACCCATTGAGCCCCATTGACACCCATTGAGCCCCATTGACACCCATTGACTTCCATTGATCCCCATTGACACCCATTGAAACCCATTGAGCCCCATTGACACCCATTGACTTCCATTGACACCCATTGAAAACCATTGACTCCCATTGACACCCATTGACACCCATTGACTTCCATTGACACCCATTGAGCCCCATTGACACCCATTGAGCCCCATTGACACCCATTGACTCCCATTGAGCCCCGTTGACACCCATTGAATTCCATTGAGCCCCATTGACACCCATTGATCCCCATTGACCCCCATTGACTCCCATTGACACCCATTGAAACCCATTGAGCCCCATTGACACCCATTGACTCCCATTGACACCCATTGAGCCCCATTGACACCCATTGACTTCCATTGACTCCCATTGAGCCCCATTGAGCCCCATTGAAACCCATTGAGCCCCATTGACACCCATCGAAACCCATTGACACCCATTGAAAACCATTGACTCCCATTGACACCCATTGACTTCCATTGACACCCATTGAGCCCCATTGACTTCCATTGACACCCATTGAGCCCCATTGACACCCATTGAGCCCCATTGACACCCATTGACTCCCATTGAGCCCCGTTGACACCCATTGAATTCCATTGAGCCCCATTGACACCCATTGATCCCCATTGACCCCCATTGACTCCCATTGACACCCATTGAAACCCATTGACCCCCATTGAGCCCCATTGACACCCATTGACACCCATTGAGCCCCATTGACACCCATTGACACCCATTGATCCCCATTGACTTCCATTGAGCCCCACTGACACCCATTGACACCCATTGAAACCCATTGACACCCATTGACATCCATTGACTTCCATTGACACCCATTGAGCCCCATTGACACCCATTGACTTCCATTGACTCCCATTGAGCCCCATTGACCCCATTGATACCCACTGAGCCCCATTGAAACCCATTGAGCCCCATTGACACCCATTGAAACCCATTGACTCCCATTGACACCCATTGACACCCATTGACTTCCATTGACACCCATTGAGCCCCATTGACACCCATTGAGCCCCATTGAGCCCCATTGACACCCATTGACTCCCATTGAGCCCCGTTGACACCCATTGAATTCCATTGAGCCCCATTGACACCCATTGATCCCCATTGACCCCCATTGACTCCCATTGACACCCATTGAAACCCATTGACCCCCATTGAGCCCCATTGACACCCATTGACACCCATTGAGCCCCATTGACACCCATTGACACCCATTGATCCCCATTGACTTCCATTGAGCCCCACTGACACCCATTGACACCCATTGAAACCCATTGACACCCATTGACATCCATTGACACCCATTGAGCCCCATTGACACCCATTGACTTCCATTGACTCCCATTGAGCCCCATTGAGCCCATTGATACCCATTGAGCCCCACTGAAACCCATTGAGCCCCATTGACACCCATTGAAACCCATTGACACCCATTGAAAACCATTGACTCCCATTGACACCCATTGACACCCATTGACTTCCATTGACACCCATTGAGCCCCATTGACACCCATTGAGCCCCATTGACACCCATTGACTCCCATTGAGCCCCGTTGACACCCATTGAATTCCATTGAGCCCCACAGACAGCCATTGAGCCCCATTGACCCCCATTGACTCCCATTGACACCCATTGAAACCCATTGACCCCCATTGAGCCCCATTGACACCCATTGAAAACCATTGACTCCCATTGACTTCCATTGAGCCCCATTGACACCTATTGACCCCATTGATCCCACTGACTCCCATTGACACCCACTGAGCCCCATTGACACCCATTGAACCCCATTGAGCCCCATTGAAAACCATTGACTCCCATTGACTTCCATTGAGCCCCATTGACACCCATTGATCCCCATTGACACCCATTGACTTCCATTGAGACCCATTGAGACCCATTGAGCCCCATTGACACCCATTGAGCCCCCTTGACACCCATTGACACCCATTGATCCCATTGACACCCATTGAAAACCACTGAGCCCCATTGACACCCATTGAGCCCCATTGAGCCCCTTTGAAAACCATTCACTCCCATTGACTTCCATTGAGCCCCACTGACACCCATTGAAAACCATTGACTCCCATTGACCCCCATTGACTCCCATTGACCCCTATTGATCCCATTGCCTCCCATTGACTCCCATTGATCCCATTGACTTCTATTGCCTCCCATTGCCCCCATTGGCTCCCACTGACTCCCATTGACTCCCATTGCCCCCATTGGCTCCCACTGACTCCCATTGACTCCCATTGCCCCCATTGACTCCCATTGACTCCCATTGACCCCATTGACTCCCATTGACCCCCATTGACTCCCATTACCCCCCACTGACCCCCATTGACTCCCATTACCCCCATTGCCTCCCATTGACTCCCATTGACTCCCATTGAGCCCCATTGACTCCCATCACCCCCCCATTGCCCCCATTGACCCCCATTGACCCCCATTGCCCCCCATTGACTCCCCTTGACTCCATCACCCCCCATTGCCCCCCCCTTACCCTGCTGGGGCGGGATGACGCGCTGGTGCTGCTCGTTCCGGAAGGCGGCCGCGGTCACGCCGGTGTAGGTGACGCCGGCGAGCGCCAGGCGGAGCCGTAGGGTCCGAGGCTCCGCCCCCTCGTTGCGGGCCCGCGCCCGCAGCTCCAGCGTGGCCCCGGCCACCGCCTCCTCGGCCGTGACCCACAGCGACACCTCCCCCCCGCTGCCGGCCCCACTGCCAGCCCCATCGGGGCCGGCGCGGTGGGGCCGGGAGCCGTGCGCGGTGGCGGTGGAGACGGCGCGGCGTTCCTCGGCTGAGCCTGGGGGGGAAAGGGGGTCGATGGGGGGCAGTGGGGGGGAATGGGAGTCATTGGGGTCAATGGAAGTCAATGGGGTTATTGGGGTCAATGGGAGTCATTGGGGTCAATGGGAGTCAATGGGGTTATTGGGGTCAATGGGAGTCATTGGGATCAATGGATGTCGAGGGTCAATGGGAGTCAATGGGGCAATGGGAGTCATTGTGGTCAATGGGGGTCATTGGGGTCAATGGGAGTCATTGGGGGTCAATGGGAGTCAATGGGAGTCAATAGGGGTCAATGGGATCAATGGGGTCAGTGGGAGTCAATGGGAGTCATTGCGGTCAATGGATGTCAGGGGGCAATGGGAGTCATTGGGGACAATGAGATTCATTGGGGTCAATGGGAGTCAATGGGGGTCATTGGGGTCAATGGGAGTCATTGGGGGTCAATGGGAGTCAATGGGGGTCAATGGGAGTCAATGGGGGTCAATGGGAGGCAGTGGGAGTAAAGGGGTCAATGGGAGTCAATGGGGGTCAATGGGAATCATCGGTATCAATGGGGGGCAATTGGAGTCATTGGGGTCAATACCGGCTATGGGGATCAATGGGAGCCAATGGGGGTCAACGGGATTCAATGGGGGTCATGGGATCCTATGGGGAGCCAAGGGTGTCAATGGGGGTCAACAGGGGCCAAAGGCAGTCAATGGGGGTCAATGGGAGTCAACGGGGTCAATAGCAGTCAGTGGGTCTCAATGGGGGTCAACAAGAGTCAATGTGGGTCAATGGGAGTCATTGGGGTCAATGGAAGTCAATGGGGGTCAATGTGGGTCAATGGGGGTCAACGGGAGCCAATGGGCGTCAACGCACGCCGTTTGAGCCAACCCCATTGGCCGCCGCCCCCCCTCCCCTCTCCCCCGTCTCCCCATTGGCCGCCGCCCCCTCTCCCCCTCTCCCCATTGGCTACCCTCGGGGTGCTTGTAGAGGTGGGTGATGTCGAGGCGCGCCCCCGAGCCCGGCCCCACGGTGCTGATGCGGCGCCCGATGGCGCCTTCCTCCACGTGCACCACGGTGAAGGTGCCGTTGGGCTGGCGCTGCCAGTACACCTTGTCGCTGTTCACCTAATTAAGTGGGCCCTAATTAGCGCTAATTAGCATTAATTAGCGTTAATTGGATCTCATTAGCATTAACGATGGGTAATTTGCGCGAAGGAATGAGCGTTAACAGGGTCCCCGTAGACCTTGTTGCTATCAACCTAGGGTCGATAGACATAATTAGTGTTAATGAGGGGTCAGTAGCCTTAATTAGCGTTAATTAGCTCGCACCAAATTAAGTGGGAGCTAATTAGCGCTAATTAGCGTTAATTAGCTCTCATTAGCATTAACGATGGGTAATTCACGCTAAGGAATGAGCGTTACCATGGTCCCCGTAGACCTTGCTGCTATCAACCAAGGGTCGATAGAGATAATTGGTGTTAATGAGCGGTCAATAGCCTTAATTAGCGTTAATTAGCTCTCGCCTAATTAAGTGTGCGCTAATTAGCACCAATTATGGCTAATTAGCGTTAATTAGCTCTCGTTTTCGTTAACGATGGGTAATTAGCGCTAAGGAATGAGCGTTACTGCGGTCCCCATAGACCTTATCATAGGTTAGTTGGCGTTAATTAGCGTTAATTAGCGTTAATTGGCTGTTAGTTAATGATAGCAAACCTTTTGACCTTATTAATGGGCGCTATTTAGACTTAATTAGCGCTAATTATCCTTAATTGGTTCTCATTAGCGTTAATTATGGGTCATTAGCGGCTAAGAAATGGAAGTTAATAGGGTCCCCATAGACGTTGTTGCTATTAACGTAGGGTTGTTAGCGATAATTAGCGTTAATTGGCGTTAATTAGCTGCTAGTAAATCTTTTGACCTAATTAACAGGGTGCTATTTAGACTTAATTATCGCCCATTAGCATAATTAAGCTCTAATTAATGAGGGTTAATGACATCCGATGACTTAATTAATTGGGCGCTAATTATCCCAAATAGCGTTAATTGGTGTTAATTACCGTTAATTATGGACAATTGGCGCTAATAAATGAGCGTTAATAGGATCCCCCTCTAACATTAATTCCCCGTCATTAGTATTAATTACCCTCATTAGCATTAATAACCCATTATAACCCCTTTATAACCCATTAGAACTATTATACTCCCTCATTAGCATTAATTCCCCCTCATTAGCATTGATTACCCTTCATTTGCATTAATCACCACTAGTTCCCCCCTCATTAGCATCAGTTACCCCTCATTAGCACTGACTATTCCTCATTAGCATCAATTAATAACCCATTATAACCATCATACCCCTCATTAGCATTAATTCCCCTCATTAGCATTACCTCATTAGCATAAAGTAGCGCTAATTACCTCCTCATTAGCATCAATTAATAACCCATTTATAACCATTATACCCCTCAATAGCATTAATTCCCCCTCATTAGCACTGATTACCCTCATTAGCATTAATTAGCGCTAATTACTACCTCATTCGCATCAGTTAACTCTCATTAGCACTGATTATTCCTCATTAGCATCAATTAATAACCCATTACAAGCCTATTATAACCCATTTATAACCATCATACCCCCTCATTAGCATTAATTCCCCCTCATTAGCATTAATTACCTCCTCATTAGCATAAAGTAGCGCTAATTACCTCCTCATTAGCATCAATTAATAACCCATTATAACCATCATTGGCATTAATTCCCCCTCATTAGCACTGATTACCCCTCATTAGCATTAATTAGCGCTAGTTCCCCCCTCATTAGCATCAGTTACCCCTCATTAGCACTGATTATTCCGCATTAGCGTCAATTAATAACCCATTATAACCCTATTTTAACCCATTATAACCATTATAGCCCCTCATTAGCATTAATTACCCCTCATTAGCATTAATTACCCCCATTAGCCTCAATCACCCTTCATTAGCATTAATTACCCCTCATTAGCATCAATTAATAACCCCTTTATAACCCCTTATAACCCCATTGTAACCCCTTTATAACCCCTTTATAACCATCATACCCCCTCATTAGCATGAATTCCCCCCTCATTAGCATTAATACCCCCCTCATTAGCATTAATAACCCCCTCATTAGCATAAATTAGCCATACCTCAGCGAACACGAAGGGGGTGTCGTACTTGAGGAAGACCTCCCCATTCTTCACCGCCTCCACGGAGCAGGGCCCGCAGCAGAACAGCCCTAAAGGCACCAGTATAAACCAGTATGGACCAGTATAAACCAGTATGGACCAGTATAAACCAGTATGGACCAGTATAAACCAGTATAAACCAGTATAAACCAGTATGGACCAGTATAAACCAGTATAAACCAGTATGGACCAGTATAAACCAGTATGGACCAGTATAAACCAGTATGGACCAGTATGGACCAGTAGAACCCAATATACCCCTATAGAACCCATTCTAACCAGAATAAACCAGTAGGGACCAGTATAGGTATAGACCAGTATAAACCAGTATGGACCAGTATGGACCAGTATGGACCAGTATAGACCAGTATGGACCAGTAGAACCCAATATACCCCTATAGAACCCATTCTAACCAGAATAAACCAGTAGGGACCAGTATAGGTATAAACCAGTATAAACCAGTATGGACCAGTATGGACCAGTATGGACCAGTATAGACCAGTATGGACCAGTAGAACCCAATATACCCCTATAGAACCCATTCTAACCAGAATAAACCAGTAGGGACCAGTATAGGTATAGACCAGTATAAACCAGTATGGACCAGTATGGACCAGTATGGACCAGTAGAACCCAATATACCCCTATAGAACCCATTCTAACCAGAATAAACCAGTAGGGACCAGTATAGGTATAGACCAGTATAAACCAGTATGGACCAGTATGGACCAGTATGGACCAGTATAAACCAGTATGGACCAGTAGAACCCAATATACCCCTATAGAACCCATTCTAACCAGAATAAACCAGTAGGGACCAGTATAGGTATAGACCAGTATAAACCAGTATGGACCAGTATGGACCAGTATGGACCAGTATAGACCAGTATGGACCCGTAGAACCCAATATACCCCAATGGAACCCATTCTAACCAGAATAAACCAGTAGGGACCAGTATAGATATAGACCAGTACAAACCAGTATGGACCAGTATAAACCAGTATGGACCAGTATAGACCAGTATGGACCAGTATAAACCAGTATGGACCAGTATAGACCAGTATGGACCAGTAGAACCCAATATACCCCTATAGAACCCATTCTAACCAGAATAAACCAGTAGGGACCAGTATAGATATAGACCAGTATAAACCAGTATGGACCAGTATAAACCAGTATGGACCCGTAGAACCCAATATACCCCTATAGAACCCATTCTAACCAGAATAAACCAGTAGGGACCAGTATAGATATAGACCAGTATAAACCAGTATGGACCAGTATAAACCAGTATGGACCGGTAGAACCCAATATACCCCACTAGAACCCATTCTAACCAGAATAAACCAGTATGGACCAGTATGGACCAGTATAACCCATTAAACCCCATTATACTCCCATTATACCCCATTAAACCCCATTATACCCCCCTATAACCCATTATAACCAGTATAACCAGTATAAACCAGTATGGACCAGTATAAACCAGTATGGACCAGTATAACCCATTAAACCCCATTATACTCCCATTATACCCCATTATACCCCATTAAACCCCATTATACCCCCCTATAACCCATTATAACCAGTATAAACCAGTATAAACCAGTATGGACCAGTATAAACCAGTATATACCACTGCTGGTCTCCTGGGGGGTGGCATCCACCACTTGCCACCCATCGTGGCCTGCGGGGAGGTCGGGCCTCTTCATCCAGCAGTCGTTCCACACGTGGAAGTTCCTGCAGGACCAGTATGGACCAGTATAAACCAGTATGGACCAGTATGGACCAGTATGGACCAGTATAAACCAGTATGGACCAGTATGGACCAGTAGCAACCGGTACGGACCAGTATGATCAGCGTAAACCACGCTAAAGCACTCTAAACCACTCTAAACCACCCCAAAACCCCAAACCAGTATAAACCAGTATAAACCAGTATAAACCAGTACCACCCCAAATCACTTCTCATTCACTCCAGGGCCTTCCTGACCCCCATAAACCCCCTAAATCCCCCCAAAAACACCCCAAAACACCCAAAAAACCCTAAACCAGTATAAACCAGTATAAACCAGTATAAACCAGTATAAACCAGTATAACCCAGTACCACCCCAAATCACTTCTCATTCACTCCATGGCCTTCCTGACCCCCATAAACCCCATAAATCCCCCCAAAAACACCCAAAAAACCCCAAACCAGTATAAACCAGTATAAACCAGTATAAACCAGTATAACCCAGTACCACCCCAAATCACTTCTCATTCACTCCATGGCCTTCCTGACCCCCATAAACCCCATAAATCCCCCTAAAAACACCCCAAACCCCCAAACCAGTATAAACCAGTATAAACCAGTATAAACCAGTATAACCCAGTACCACCCCAAATCACTTCTCATTCACTCCATGGCCTTCCTAACCCCCATAAACCCCATAAATCCCCCCAAAACACCCAAAAAAACCCCCAAACCAGTATAAACCAGTATAAACCAGTATAACCCAGTATAACCCAGTACCAACCCAAATCACTTCTCATTCACTCCATTGCCTTCCTAACCCCCATAAACCCCATAAATCCCCCCAAAAACACCCCAAACCCCCAAACCAGTATAAACCAGTATAAACCAGTATAAACCAGTATAACCCAGTATAACCCAGTACCACCCCAAATCACTTCTCATTCACTCCATGGCCTTCCTAACCCCCATAAACCCCATAAATCCCCCCAAAAACACCCCAAAACCCCCCCAAACCCCCAAACCAGTATAAACCAGTATAAACCAGTATAAACCAGTATAAACCAGTATAAACCAGTACCAAACGGAGTCGGTGTTGAGGCGCTCCATGGGCTTCATGCTCTCGTCCAGGTAGATGTCGGTGGTGAGGGAGACGTCGGTGTCGTGCGCCGAGTTGTAGTTGGTCACCGTCCGCGTGGGCAGCCCCAGGCACCGCAGCACTGCCGGGACCAGTATAAACCAGTATAAACCAGTATAAACCAGTATAAACCAGTATAAACCAGTATAACCCAGTATAACCCATTATAAACCAGTATAACCCATTAAAACCCATTAAACCCCATTGTAACGCATCGCAACCCAATTCCAACCCAATATAGCCCAATAGACCAGTATAAACCAGTATAAACCAGTATAACCCAGTATAAACCAGTATAACCCAGTATAAACCAGTATAAACCAGTATAAACCAGTATAACCCAGTATAACCCATTATAAACCAGTATAACCCATTAAAACCCATTAAACCCCATTGTAACGCATCGCAACCCCGTATAACCCGTTCCAACCCAATATAGGCCAATACACGCCCATAGACCAGTATAACCCAGTATAAACCAGTATAAACCAGTATAAACCAGTATAAACCAGTCCAAACCAGTATAAACCAGTATAAACCAGTCCATCCCAGTCCCGAAACCAACCCAAACCAGTCCCGAAACCAACCCAAACCAACCCAAACCAACCCAAACCAGTCCAAACCAACCCAAACCAGTATAAACCAGTCCAAACCAAACCAAACCAGTCCATCCCAGTATAAACCAGTATAAACCAGTCCCGAAACCAACCCAAACCAGTCCCGAAACCAACCCAAACCAACCCAAACCAACCCAAACCAACCCAAACCAACCCAAACCAACCCAAACCAGTATAAACCAGTATAAACCAGTATAAACCAGTATAAACCAGTATAAACCAGTATAAACCAGTCCATCCCAGTCCCAAAACCAACCCAAACCAACCCAAACCAACCCAAACCAACTCAAACCAGTCCAAACCAGTCCAAACCAGTCCAAACCAGTATAAACCAGTATAAACCAGTATAAACCAGTCCATCCCAGTCCCGAAACCAACCCAAACCAGTCCAAACCAGTCCAAACCAGTCCAAACCAGTCCATCCCAGTCCATCCCAGTCCATTCCAGTCCAAACCAGTCCAAACCAACCCAAACCAACCCAAACCAACCCAAACCAGTCCATCCCAGTATAAACCAGTATAAACCAGTATAAACCAGTATAAACCAGTTCAAACCAGTATAAACCAGTATAAACCAGTATAAACCAGTATAAACCAGTCCCGAAACCAACCCAAACCAGTCCCAAAACCAACCCAAACCAACCCAAACCAACCCAAACCAACCCATCCCAGTATAAACCAGTATAAACCAGTATAAACCAGTCCAAACCAGTCCAAACCAGTATAAACCAGTATAAACCAGTACAAACCAGTATAAACCAGTATAACCCAGTATAACCCAGTCCAAACCAGTATAAACCAGTATAACCCAGTATAACCCAGTATAAACCAGTATAAACCAGTATAACCCAGTATAAACCAGTATAAACCAGTACAAACCAGTACATACCAGTGGTGACGACCCCCGCGAACACCCAGCACTGCCCGTAGCGCACGGGCGCCCCGGTGCTGAGGAAACCCCGTAGGATCTGCACCGAGCCCGCCCATGCCGACGGGTTGGTGCCCTGCTCGTAGCGCCCCGTCCAGTTCCCCACCAGCACCCCGTTGTCGTCCAGAGAGTTCACCTATGGGTGCCAGGGGTGCCGCTATGGGTGCTAGTGGGTGCTATAGGGTGCTATTGGGTGCTAGAGAGTGCTATGGGTGATATCGGATGCTATGGGGAGTAATGGATGCTATGGGATGGGAATGAGGGCTATAGGGTGCTAGGGGTGCTATAGGGTGCTATGGGGTGGGAATGGGTGCTATGGGTGCTATTGGGTGCTATAGGGTGCTATGGGTGCTATAGGGTGCTATTGGCTGCTAGAGAGTGCTATGGGTGATATCGGATGCTATGGGGAGTAATGGATGCTATGGGATGGGAATGAGTGCTATAGGGTGCTATGGGTGCTATTGGGTGCTATGGGGTGGGAATGGGTGCTATGGGTGCTATTGGGTGCTATTGGGTGCTATAGGGTGCTATGGGTGCTATAGAGTGCTATGGGTAGTAATGGATGCTATAGGATGCTAATGAGTGCGGGTTGGTGCCCTGCTCGTAGCGCCCCGTCCAGTTCCCCACCAGCACCCCGTTGTCGTCCAGAGAGTTCACCTATGGGTGCCAGGGGTGCCGCTATGGGTGCTAGTGGGTGCTATAGGGTGCTATTGGGTGCTAGAGAGTGCTATGGGTGATATCGGATGCTATGGGGAGTAATGGATGCTATGGGATGGGAATGAGGGCTATAGGGTGCTAGGGGTGCTATTGGGTGCTATGGGGTGGGAATGGGTGCTATGGGTGCTATTGGGTGCTATAGGGTGCTATAGGGTGCTATGGGTGCTATAGAGTGCTATGGGTGATATCGGATGCTATGGGGAGTAATGGATGCTATGGGATGGGAATGAGTGCTATAGGGTGCTATGGGTGCTATTGGGTGCTATGGGGTGGGAATGGGTGCTATGGGTGCTATGGGTGCTATTGGGTGCTATGGGTGCTATAGGGTGCTATGGGGTGCTACAGAGTGCTATGGGTGATATCGGATGCTATGGGGAGTAATGGATGCTATGGGATGGGAATGAGTGCTATAGGGTGCTAGGGGTGCTATTGGGTGCTATGGGGTGGGAATGGGTGCTATGGGTGCTATTGGATGCTATAGGGTGCTAGGGGTGCTATAGGGTGCTAGGGGTGCTATAGAGTGCTATGGGTAGTAATGGATGCTATAGGATGCTAATGAGTGCGGGTTGGTGCCCTGCTCGTAGCGCCCCGTCCAGTTCCCCACCAGCACCCCGTTGTCGTCCAGAGAGTTCACCTATGGGTGCCAGGGGTGCCGCTATGGGTGCTAGTGGGTGCTATAGGGTGCTATTGGGTGCTAGAGAGTGCTATGGGTGATATCGGATGCTATGGGGAGTAATGGATGCTATGGGATGGGAATGAGGGCTATAGGGTGCTAGGGGTGCTATAGGGTGCTATGGGGTGGGAATGGGTGCTATGGGTGCTATTGGGTGCTATAGGGTGCTATGGGTGCTATAGGGTGCTATTGGCTGCTAGAGAGTGCTATGGGTGATATCGGATGCTATGGGGAGTAATGGATGCTATGGGATGGGAATGAGTGCTATAGGGTGCTATGGGTGCTATTGGGTGCTATGGGGTGGGAATGGGTGCTATGGGTGCTATTGGGTGCTATTGGGTGCTATAGGGTGCTATGGGTGCTATAGAGTGCTATGGGTAGTAATGGATGCTATAGGATGCTAATGAGTGCGGGTTGGTGCCCTGCTCGTAGCGCCCCGTCCAGTTCCCCACCAGCACCCCGTTGTCGTCCAGAGAGTTCACCTATGGGTGCCAGGGGTGCCGCTATGGGTGCTAGTGGGTGCTATAGGGTGCTATTGGCTGCTAGAGAGTGCTATGGGTGATATCGGATGCTATGGGGAGTAATGGATGCTATGGGATGGGAATGAGGGCTATAGGGTGCTATGGGTGCTATTGGGTGCTATGGGGTGGGAATGGGTGCTATGGGTGCTATTGGGTGCTATAGGGTGCTATTGGGTGCTATAGAGTGCTATGGCTGATATCGGATGCTATGGGGAGTAATGGATGCTATGGGATGGGAATGACGGCTATAGGGTGCTATGGGTGCTATTGGGTGCTATGGGGTGGGAATGGGTGCTATGGGTGCTATTGGGTGCTATAGGGTGCTATGGGGTGCTATAGGATGCTATGGGTGCTATAGAGTGCTATGGGGAGTAATGGATGCTATAGGATGCTAATGAGTGCGGGTTGGTGCCCTGCTCGTAGCGCCCCGTCCAGTTCCCCACCAGCACCCCGTTGTCGTCCAGAGAGTTCACCTATGGGTGCCAGGGGTGCCGCTATGGGTGCTATTGGGTGCTATTGGGTGCTATTGGGTGCTAGAGAGTGCTATGGCTGATATCGGATGCTATGGGGAGTAATGGATGCTATGGGATGGGAATGAGGGCTATAGGGTGCTATGGGTGCTATTGGGTGGGAATGGGTGCTATGGGTGCTATTGGGTGCTATAGGGTGCTATGGGTGCTAGAGAGTGCTATGGCTGATATCGGATGCTATGGGGAGTAATGGATGCTATGGGATGGGAATGAGGGCTATAGGGTGCTAGGGGTGCTATAGGGTGCTATGGGGTGGGAATGGGTGCTTTGGGTGCTATTGGGTGCTATAGGGTGCTATGGGTGCTATAGGGTGCTATGGGTGCTATAGAGTGCTATGGGTAGTAATGGATGCTATAGGATGCTAATGAGTGCGGGTTGGTGCCCTGCTCGTAGCGCCCCGTCCAGTTCCCCACCAGCACCCCGTTGTCGTCCAGAGAGTTCACCTATGGGTGCCAGGGGTGCCGCTATGGGTGCTAGTGGGTGCTATAGGGTGCTATTGGGTGCTAGAGAGTGCTATGGGTGATATCAGATGCTATGGGGAGTAATGGATGCTATGGGATGGGAATGAGTGCTATAGGGTGCTAGGGGTGCTATAGGGTGCTATGGGGTGGGAATGGGTGCTATGGGTGCTATTGGGTGCTATAGGGTGCTATGGGTGCTATAGGGTGCTATAGGGTGCTATAGGATGCTATGGGTGCTATAGAGTGCTATGGGTAGTAATGGATGCTATAGGATGCTAATGAGTGCTACAGAATGCTAGGGGTGCTATAGGGTGCTATGGGGTGGGAATGGGTGCTATGGGTGCTATTGGGTGCTATAGGGTGCTATGGGTGCTATAGGGTGCTATAGGGTGCTATAGGATGCTATGGGTGCTATAGAGTGCTATGGGTAGTAATGGATGCTATAGGATGCTAATGAGTGCTACAGAATGCTAGGGGTGCTATAGGGTGCTATGGGGTGGGAATGGGTGCTATGGGTGCTATTGGGTGCTATAGGGTGCTATGGGTGCTATTGGGTGCTATAGGGTGCTATGGGTGCTATTGGGTGCTATAGGGTGATATAGGGTGCTATGGGTGCTATAGAGTGCTATGGGTAGTAATGGATGCTATAGGATGCTAATGAGTGCGGGTTGGTGCCCTGCTCGTAGCGCCCCGTCCAGTTCCCCACCAGCACCCCGTTGTCGTCCAGAGAGTTCACCTATGGGTGCCAGGGGTGCCGCTATGGGTGCTATTGGGTGCTATAGGGTGCTATTGGGTGCTAGAGAGTGCTATGGGTGATATCGGATGCTATGGGGAGTAATGGATGCTATGGGGTGGGAATGAGGGCTATAGGGTGCTATGGGTGCTATTGGGTGCTATGGGGTGGGAATGGGTGCTATGGGTGCTATTGGGTGCTATAGGGTGCTATGGGTGCTATTGGGTGCTATAGGGTGATATAGGGTGCTATGGGTGCTATAGAGTGCTATGGGGAGTAATGGATGCTATAGGATGGGAATGAGTGCTATAGGGTGCTATGGGTGCTATAGGGTGCTATGGGGTGGGAATGGGTGCTATGGGTGCTATTGGGTGCTATAGGGTGCTATGGGGTGCTATAGGATGCTATGGGTGCTATAGAGTGCTATGGGTAGTAATGGATGCTATAGGATGCTAATGAGTGCGGGTTGGTGCCCTGCTCGTAGCGCCCCGTCCAGTTCCCCACCAGCACCCCGTTGTCGTCCAGAGAGTTCACCTATGGGTGCCAGGGGTGCCGCTATGGGTGCTAGTGGGTGCTATAGGGTGCTATTGGGTGCTAGAGAGTGCTATGGGTGATATCGGATGCTATGGGGAGTAATGGATGCTATGGGATGGGAATGAGTGCTATAGGGTGCTATGGGTGCTATTGGGTGCTATGGGGTGGGAATGGGTGCTATGGGTGCTATTGGGTGCTATAGGGTGATATAGGGTGCTATGGGTGCTATAGAGTGCTATGGGGAGTAATGGATGCTATAGGATGCTAATGAGTGCGGGTTGGTGCCCTGCTCGTAGCGCCCCGTCCAGTTCCCCACCAGCACCCCGTTGTCGTCCAGAGAGTTCACCTATGGGTGCCAGGGGTGCCGCTATGGGTGCTAGTGGGTGCTATAGGGTGCTATTGGCTGCTAGAGAGTGCTATGGGTGATATCGGATGCTATGGGGAGTAATGGATGCTATGGGATGGGAATGAGGGCTATAGGGTGCTATGGGTGCTATTGGGTGCTACGGGGTGGGAATGGGTGCTATGGGTGCTATTGGGTGCTATAGGGTGCTATGGGGTGCTATAGGGTGCTATGGGTGCTATAGAGTGCTATGGGTAGTAATGGATGCTATAGGATGCTAATGAGTGCGGGTTGGTGCCCTGCTCGTAGCGCCCCGTCCAGTTCCCCACCAGCACCCCGTTGTCGTCCAGAGAGTTCACCTATGGGTGCCAGGGGTGCCGCTATGGGTGCTAGTGGGTGCTATAGGGTGCTATTGGGTGCTAGAGAGTGCTATGGCTGATATCGGATGCTATGGGGAGTAATGGATGCTATGGGATGGGAATGAGGGCTATAGGGTGCTATGGGTGCTATAGGGTGCTATGGGGTGGGAATGGGTGCTATGGGTGCTATTGGGTGCTATAGGGTGCTATGGGTGCTATTGGGTGCTATAGGGTGCTATAGGGTGCTATGGGTGCTATAGAGTGC